AGCCCCAAACCCTAAATAGCAGTTTCCATTTTCTTTTCCACTATACCCCTATACTATACCCCTATATTATAACCCTATATTATAGCCTTATATTATAACCCTATATTAGAAACCTATATTCTACCCCCATCCAGCTCAGGTGACCTTGCGGCCGTCATCGCGGAGGTCGTTGCAGCCTTCGACCGGGGTCAGCTTCGGAGCGACACCTGGGAGGCCGTCGTTTGTACGGTTTTGGAGGTTGGGGTTTACACAGGGATTCAGAGGTTTAGGGTTTGAGATGGTATGTTATTTTTTGGCTAGGGTTTAGGGTTCAATTTTATGATGCAGGGTGTATGCTTCCTCTACATTAAGCAGCCCCACCCGCCAGTTTTCGATATCCGCTGTAGTAGGCGCAGTATCTTTGGGATAGGAGTAGAGATTCTACTCGCATCGTTGTGGTGCAGGGAGTCTGCCGGGAGTAGATGAGTTCTACATTTGAGAGTATTTTGTGGAAAGAATGGCACATGTTTGGATTCTGTTGGGGTTCTACAAGGAGTTGGGATTGCAACAGGACGGTTCGGTGTACTTTCTAGGTCTTTTGGCCCAGTGAGATGACAGAGACCCCATGCAAATTTCTCAACAAGCGTTCCTGTTCAAGAGTGCTTGTTTCCAAGGATCCTTGTATGTTTGGGGCATGCGTGGGACCAGGTTAATTTCGGGAAATGCTATGATGTATCCAAAACCTGGCAACAGGTCATACGGACACTAACATGAATTTATTTCTGTCAGAAATGCGGCTGCCAAGTCACCCTAGACCCCAAACCCTGAAAGTTTGAGAAGGCGGTGTGATTTCTGTTTGTCCAAAGTCGGAGCATCTCCACGGCAGGAGTTGGTGAGCGACCTCTCCGCAGCAACGGGGCTGAAGGCGGCCGGTGAAATTCAAGTGTGTACGATTAGATAAAGTTTGTTTAAGGTCGAATGGCATCATTTTGAGGCACAAGACGTGGTAATTAGTTTGGTACACGTGTAGTGGAAGTAATTGCAAGCTTGCTGTACCACCTCAACATCGGAAACCCCAAACCCTAAACTGCCCTAAGTCCCAAACCCCAAAGTACCCCAAACTCCCTGAACCCTGAACCCTAAACCCTGAAACTACCTTAAACTGTAAATGGCATCCCTGAGGGCAAGAAGCTCCTTCAGCCCCTGCGCTTTGCCCTTACTGGGCGGCTGAAAGGACCTGAAGTGTCTCGTGGGGTGTAGGGTGGAGGATTAAGGTTTAGGGTTTAGGGTTCAGGTTTAAGTGGGGTATATTGGAGTATATGAGTTATGCATGGGTTGTGTGGGGTTATATTGGGATTATATAGAGGGCTAATGAATGGACAACAAGATTGAAATTACTGGCTATTGTGTTATGTATGGCTTAGGGTTTAGGGTGGAGGTCCAAGGGACTTGCTACGTATACCTGAGACGCTATAATCCAAACAATGACCCCCAGTTATCCCCATTATTCGCATGTTTATGGAGTCCCGTGACCCTCCCAGTGTGGTTTGGGGTGCTTCCTATCCTTAGCAGGTGTGTAATCCGGAGCAGTATCATCGTAGAACCTTCAGAAGATTGAGCACAACATGCCCTAAATCCAAGCCCAATAATAGTTGGGAAGAAATGCTTTTATCTGAGAATCAAGACCCCCAATAATTTCTCATCTGCCGCGCTGGAGCAGGGAGACGTGATCTCCATGATATTCGCGAGTAACTACAACTGCAAAATTGCTTTTTCGAAGCACTGACTTTCTACCTTGAGGACCTAAACCCTAAGCCCTAAAGGACATAGCCTCCCTGAGCTGTTAAAGCTCCTGGAGCTGAAGCTCGGCAATACATGCATGAGGTTCTCAAGGGTTTAGGGTTAAGGGTTTTGTGGTCCTAGGATGAATCCCCTCCCTTAGTAGTACCCCTCCTGTATTGGGGTAATATTGTCATAATATTCATAATGGAAAATAAAATGGAAACTACCATAATTTACTGGGGTTCTATTGTAATAGCTGTTCCCTTGATATAAAATGACATTTATACTGGCAGGGGAAAAGTTATTACAGGGCGTGCTGGTGTTTGTAATTCGCAGGAGGCGGTTCATGAGTCAGTGAGTAGGACACAGGTTTGAGGGGACAAGGGCTTACGCTTTAGAGGTTTGCTTTGCGATGTTTTGGGGCTGATGTTGCTGATCTGATGATTGCTATTCTTACTATCACTGTTGTATAGTGTTGTTGTTGCTACCAGATTCAGTAGCAATGACATCTCGGATCCGGATCCAAGGATGGAAAGACTTGGAGCTCCGTGGAGCACCTTGGCCACATGCTTTCTGACATCGAAGGTACGGTGGTGATAGTGGTGATAGTCGTAGTTGTCGTCTGCGTCGATAGCGTTATCGTTGTGGGTGTCGACAGCATCGTCATTGTCGGCATCGGCAGCGTCGTCGTCGTCGCCACTGCAGGGGTTCTATCAAAATTGCTCGTTCAGAATCTCAATCCCGTCCCATGCACTCAAGGTCCTGAGGTTTTGCCCCTCGAGCGAAGAGTGGCGGAGCTGCGCACATGGCGGGACATGGTCGGGAAAGCCCGGACGCCGAAAGAGCTTGAAGTTGCTACATAGAAAAAAGATGCGCGCAGTGTGGGGTTCAGGGTTAAGGGTTGCAGACTGCTCCAAATCTATTTGTTATCCCGCTATTTCCCCAGGTCGCCTAAGGACCCCTAGTTTGAGCCCCACCCCCCAATATGGGGATTTCCTCACCTTTACGGAACCATTTTTTGATGACTGCTAGCTTGCAATCCCTCATTATTATTAGCTCCCCGCATTCCCCAACTTCAGGAACAGTAGTTGAGGCCAATGCCCGCTTGTGACAAGCAGGCCCACATGGAGGCTCAGGTATTTAAGCCCAAGACCCAAATCATACTTGTGACGATACCCACCTCCGCTATAACCATACTGGGCTACACTTGCAACCAGCTTAGAACTACTCTTCTAATCGGTTTTGAAATACCCTTGACCCCAAGCGCCTCGTCCCATCCTGCAAAGAAGCTCTCAGCAGGTATACTGCCTGCAGCAGAACCCTTTAAATCGCAAAGCAAAGGTGGGAGACCAGAGGGGTATACGGGAGAAGTCTACAGGACTACAAAGGGTATCTGAGTGCGTGTATACATGGTAGGGGGCATCCATGTGGGGAGACTTTCAACCCAATCCCTCAACCCCAAATTGTAATCCCCAGGCCTTCAACCCCAATTCCTAAGCCCTACGCCCTATATATCCCACTATACAACCTCCGTTTCCGTCGAATTTTTCATTTTCTTCTCTTTTTCATTTGATTCTCCATTGTTGGGGTAATGTCCCTAGACCTTATTAAATCCCCTATGTTGCCCTATATAATCCTTCTGTAATCCCTATATAACCCCCTGAAACCTGTACTACCCAGCTTCAGCTAGCACACCTGATTTGCTGCGTCACAGGATTACCTTCGTCGTGATGCCACGCTCAGTGACCAGGCATCAGATCTACAGCGCTGTCGTATCTATTTGAGAAGTGTGAATGGTAGGCCAGGGAAGACATGACCACAGTAGTTAAGACAAAGTTATGCTAGCCACAGCATATTAATTGCGGCAGCTGTGACAGTGAACAGAATCAGCACTGCTAATCATGCTACAGGTGCTTCGAAATAGCACAGATAGGAAAATTACTGTGACTTGTCTGCTTGGCTGCTGGTTTCCAGTGGTCCAAATCCAGCACCACCCACAACGGAATTCCTAATTTAGGGAAACCCTAAACCACCCCTATGTAACCCCTATATAATCCCCTATATAGCCTCTCTAGGACCCACCTATAGCCCCTATATAGCCCCTATATAACCCCTATGTAACCGTCATACGGCCCCTATATGACCCAGATATAACCCCCATGAACCCCCACATGGCCCCTAAATAACCTTTCTATAACCCCAATATAGCCCCTACATACCCCCTCTGGAAGGTCGAAAGGCGACTGCGCCAGGTTGAGCGCATGCAGGCAGGGTTTCCTTGTGGCACCGCAGCATGCGGAGCCTTAAACCCTCAAAGACTTTAAAGTAGATAGAGGGGTTATATAGGGGTTATATAGGAGCTGAACGGGGGTTATACAGGGTTTGGGGTTTCCCTAAATTAGGGATACCATTTTGAAGCCCAACAAGAAGGATAACAGTATTTCGGGTCTATATTGGGGTCCCCCCCATTTATGGAAACTCCTATATGAAGATGAATTTTGCTAGCATTTTTGTTACAACAGCAAAATGCTAGTCGTTAGGGGCTCAATGAAATGGTCAATGAAAGCGGTGTCTGAGTCGGCCCAGCCAGCTACACAGCTAGCTTTTCATTCCTACGCAGCGAGCCATCCTTCAGTCTTGCCTGAATATCCGGTCTAAAACGCTTGTAGTCGCCCCCTATGTATTCCTAACGTCACCCCTTGTAGCAAACCTCATAATGATTTTCTTCACATACCAGGCCGCCATTCAGCACTGGAAGCAGAAAATCGCGCAAAATCGCCAGGAGTGTGAGGCAGGAGTTCTGAAACAGTGGGTAGTTCCCAGTCACAGCAACAAAGTTGTTGTTAGCTTGGGGCATATATGTCATATATGTATCTCTCAAAATTCTGCTACCGGCCTGTTTATGTCAAGATCCGCTGTTGTTGGGAACGTACGCGTCATACCGCCTCTACAACCTGCGAGTAGCCCGATGTATCCCCAAGTACCCCTTGAACATAGGGTTTAGGGTCTAGGATCTTGTCTTCCGTCGCTCTTTTAGGAAGCTGTCACAGTCAACTTTGACATAGTCCTTAAGGGGCACAGGTGCCTCTTCTTCAGTCATTAAAGCCCCTCACCTCAGCTGCCTTTTACAGACATGGCACTTTGCAGGAGCGGAACCAACAGCTCCGAACCGAGAAGGATCACATTGCCAAGCATTTCCAGGCAGGTCTGAAAACCCAAATCCCAGGGTTTAGGGTTTAGGATTTTAGGTTTAGGGCTCCAAACCTCAAACGTTACAAGTGCCACTATAGAGGCTTCAGGTGTTTGCGTGGTTTTGGACTCTATGTTTGGCTGTATTGTTAAGGATCTGTTGCTTGTGTACTGGAAGGGAGTTCTCCATGGCGAGGACGACTGTCATGTGAAGAAGTGCAAGTGGGAGTTCTCAAGATAAGCCCTGTAACATGCTCAAGCAGGTCCTTCATGATCCCCTTTGAAGCCATCTGGTAGTTTCCCAAGGTAAGGGAACCCCAATGTAGACCCCAGAATATTATCCATCCTTAATATGGGGACCCCCCCAAAAAGGTACCCCTAAATTTTGGGAAACCCCCATCTGTATCTCTGAGATCTCTAAGTGAGCTTCTTGTTCGCCAGACCGTAAATTTTACCTCCCGAAAGGAGCTGAAGGCCAAGATGAACCACTTTCGCACAGAGGGCTGCTCGGCTGGCTTCTGGACCCGTGCTGAATATCACTCCAACTTTAGCGTGTGCACCTGAAGACATCTACATACCAGGGTGCTGTTTCATATAGAAGCTTTTGATCGGTTGAATTCCTAGTGTGGGCATAAAGTTGGGCCCGCAATACTGAGAAGCCCGCAGCTCTAGGCTTGGGCGTTACAGAACCATGCAGAGCAACAAAAGTACGAGCAGCACGTGGCTATTGCTGAGATGGAGAAGTTTACAATTCATCATCCATCATTTTGATGCATGGCCTGCATGGAGCATGTTTCATGGATCCTTGAAGCACATGAGGCAAGAAGCGCCTGGCAGATCTCACAATGAACGCCAGGACACTTGTGGGGTCAGCGCTCCATGCGCGTAGTGCAGGGTCGTCTTCATGTGCGGTGCCGCTGGAAGTTACTTGCAGCAACCTGTTATGCAAGGGTTTCATTGGTACTTCCAGCCACAAGCTGGAAGCTTTGCAACCCCATAGCATTTGCCATGGCTGTACTCATGTCTTTTTTTTGACAAGCTTTGGGCCTTGTTTCCTCTTCTCACGTCAGTACTTTGCAGGCACATTGTCCGCGATTGCTCGCAATCTCGGAACAGGGCTCCTTGAAAGTATGGGGCGATTTGCGGCTGGCAACGCGAGCGCATCAGTAAAAACTGTGTGTGCGTCAGTAAAATGCAGTTTTCACTCATATTTCATTCGCCATAGCTCGCGTCGCTACAAAAGAGCAGCAAGAGCTCGCGATGTGCCGGCGCTGGGACTGCGTCAGTAAAACGTATGGTTCCACGATAGTGATTGACACGAGAATAGAAGGTTCAAAGGGCTTTTGGCCACGGCTCAGATGTGACATTTTAAAGCCTATGTGTGTACACACATTCATGTTTGCATATATGTAAATATATACATACATATCAGTGTCCGAGACTGTAAGCCTCAAGCTCTTGAGCCGCATTTCATCTTGCTGTAGGTTCCTTCCTGCGAATCCCGCTGATTTGACCTCAAAGGGGGATTCAAAGCCCTGAACCGTAAACCAAGGGAAAGGTTGGCAAATGGACCCCCAGGCAGTCCCCCGGCAGGGAAGGAGCCTTTGCGGTTGAAAAGCATAACCCGAAGTCTTGAACCCGAAACCTAAACTCTGAACCTAGACCTTGAAGCCCAAGCCACAAACCCCAGTGCATGCAGGAACTGCATCAAGTCCCTGAAAGATCAGCTCGGCTTGGCCGAGAGGATATTGAAGACAGCGGAACTTTGCAGGACAATTCTTGGGTTCCTGCTTCGGACTTTTTAAGGTGCTACAGGGATGATAGAGTGGTTGCGTAGGGTTTAGCGTTAAGTGTTAGCAGAATGGAAAATTTGCAGGGCAGCTTGATAAGGGGTTATATAGGGCGTATTTGGGTCATGTAAGGGTTGTGTAAGGGCTTCACGAGGCTGATATCTTGATTACGCGGGGGTTTCAGAAATGGCACAGACAGAAGTTGCTCTGTTTCTTAGGGTTTGGGTTTCAGGGTTTGGGGTTTAGGGCTATATTAAAGGAGAATCAAATGGGAACTAGAAAGTGAAATGGAAGATGGGGTTATACCGATTTGAGGAGCTTAGATTAAGTAATATGGATTTCTCATAGGGAATACTACGGTCTCCCCATAACGGTAACCTATCTGCAGTCCTTGGAAAGGCAGCCCAGTATCAGATAATACAGTAGGTGGTTCGAAAGGAATGGGGCAACGTGAGTCCCGCGGAGGTTCCTCAATGATCTCCATCTTTACCCTTGCAATAGTCTTGCAATAGTCCCTCTAACCCCTTGGGGAATCTAAAGAATTTCGAATCAGTGTTCAATGCCCGCAATGTTTCCAAGATGCGAGGTTGGATCGGGCCGTGGGTTTTAGGCGTCATTCTGCAGTCTGGCGCCTCCGGAGAGACCAGATGGGAGTTTTTGCGCAGCATGATGATTTCTGTATAGCAGCTCCTGCTATCGCGATTTGGCCGCAGGAAGTTTGAGACAGAGCGTGAGAAGGCTGGAGTAGTCTTTGGCACTCTCCCATTGCATGCCAGACAGTGGTGCTCGTAATTTCGTATGTGCCCTTGTCCCACCTAAGCAGCAAACACCATTTTGACCTAAAGCTGCTTTTCCATCCTTTAGTCCTCAGATAAAGACCGTCTCCTGTAGTGGAGGTGCTCCCGTTCTACCTGTCCCGCGACATCCTGCAACTCGCTCTTGGTTGAAGAAGATTTCAGCTTGAGTATTGGCATAACCTCAAAAGCTCGTTCTTAAGTTCGAAATGCTCCTAATACTGGTAAGCAAAACCACCGCGAAATCCTGAAGCCCAACATTTGTGGGCGTCTTCTCAGATGGGGTTTCCAGGAGAGCATGTAGGAAGGACTTTGGGTTGCTTCTGGCATGTCACAGGGGCCCCTAATGGGACCCAGTGTCCCTTCTGTAGTAACGATGAAGAGATCCACTCCCCAGGCCAATCCCCATATATGTATGTATATGTGTTTCTATATATCTAGACACCTACAACCCCTAAAGCCATTATGCAGACACATCAGGCAAGAGTTTGAGGAGGGCGAGCTCGAGTTCGGAGACGAGGAGTTCGGGTTCAGGGTGTGGGATGCTCAGAGCAAGAGGCAAGAAGTCTGAAAATGGAAGTTGGATACCCAAAAGCAATGTTCCCATATGTCCAGTCGAAAGAGTAGCCGATATCAAAACTCTAGACCAGCCCAAGGTACGGCGAATGATGGATTAGAATCCACACTCCGACCGAAGCATGCAGACAAATTCTTGAGGAAGACACCTGGATGGTTGTCAAAATTATGGTCCCTTTTTTGGGTCCCTATTATAATACGGCAACTAATATTTAGGGTACCCAAAAAGGACCATAATTTTGACAACCACCCACCTGCCTGTTTGAGAACGCCACAGACTCTCCACAAGTCAGCTGGAAAGCGGCTTGAAAAGTTCTCCAATCTACCATCAAATTATGAAGCCTTCCACTGTCATAAGACTTTGCCGCACATGAAAGACCTACCACCGATTCAGAGAATCCAACCTATCCAGATAAGCCTGACATTCAGTAGTCCTATCCTATGTCCCCGAAGGTGTGTAGTTCAACTCGATGTTTTTTTGGCAGGTGCTACAAGGTTCCTGAAAATATTTTTTAACTTCTGTTACCTAGAATAGAATCCTTGTATTCAGCTGAAATTATAATTTCTACTGGGGTTCCAAATCCCTTAGAGAGTGTCCCTCCTTAGCGCAGGACCTCAAAGAGGAGATCCGAAAGGAGCTCACAGATGTAGGTATCGACGAGTGGACCTACCTGGACAACTTCTTCAAGCGCTACAACAAGGCCGTTCGGCAGCATGTTTGTCTGGGTGACCTTTCAGTCTGTTGGTGCCTACGCCTGTGTTGAAGGATCAAAGATCATGTTTTCTTCGCTCAAACTTCAAACTCTACACCCAGATGACAAAACCCTGCCCAAGCCCTGCCCGCAGACCTCACACGGCGAACCCTCAAGACCGGCTGCCGCGACAGGTGAAGTTGGACTTCCATGCAGTTGAACAGGACGCTCCCTGTGCTTGGGCTCGGGCTTAGGGGCCTATGCTTGGGGCTTACGGCTGAGGACTTACACCTTTGGGCTTAGGAGTCAGGGCTTTGGGTCAGAACTCCGACGTTCTTCATTTGGGGGTTTCTCAACGTGACTCACCTCAGCAAGGATTTGATGATCTGGAGACCTCTAGCCAATTTCGTTCAGTTGATGTGACCATTGACTGCTGTCCTGAGGAGGGAAAGCGCCTCACCAAGGAGAATGTACAGCCGCGAGCTCGTGCTTGTGTTGGAAACAATATTTGCATAAAGCGTGCAGAATAAGACAGATATATAAGGGTTACATAGAGGATATATTAGGATAATGGAAAAGAAAATGGAAACTACTATAGTATATTAGGGGTCCCTTTAAAGGGGCTTATAGGGGCTTTGTTTGGAAGTTTGGCGTGCCTGGATTTCGTTTCACATCTCACTTGCTTTTGTAGACGTGCCCGCACTTGCAAAGAGGCTATAGGAGCTATAGCCTAAACTCCTTATATCCCCCTCAGTAACCCCTATAATAGTACCTTATATAATCCCCTATGCAACCCCCCTTTAAGGAGTTTAGACTATAGCTCATGAGTGATTTTTGCTATTGAGCTAGCTCGAGATTAGCTGCGTTGCGCTGAGGTTGCGCTCCATCCTGAAGCAGTTCCTCGACGGAGTCAGTGTCAATGAGGCGCGGGTGAACATTGTCATCCAAGTACTTCTAGTGGTTGTGACAGGGATGTCCGTATCTGACCAAGACGTTTCTACAGCAGTTGCAGCACATGCTTCTAATTCCATGAACTTTGAAACTTCAAATTTGTCCAGAAGCTCTAGACTGCCCCTTCTGTTGACTGTCCTCAAATGATGCCCCTAAACCCTGAACCTCTAAACCCTAAACCCTAACCCCTGGAATCAGCAGGACGTGCTGTCGGCGCCAAACCCACTTCTGGTGGTGAATGGCAAGGCTTGGGCTTGGGAGTCAGAATTTTTAGCACACCAGGAGCTTGGAAGCTGCTTGTTTCTTTTATTTTTAGGGTTTTAGGGTCTGAAGGTTTTAGGCTTTAGGGTTTTAGAGTTCAGGGTTTAGGGTTTAGGGTTTACGGCCCAGGGGTTAAAATATAGGATTATGATGTAGGGACATGAAATAGGGATAATAGTAGTTTTTTTTTTGAAGGGTTTACGCTTTAGGGTGTGCGAGCCCAGATGCAAAAAGGGTCTAGGGATTATCAAGATTACGAACAGGAGGAGCAAGAAGAAACAGAGGAAGGAAACCTCGCAGTAGGAGTGATAGTAGGAGGAGGACTGGCAGCGGCAGCAGCAGTTTTGACATCATCCTCATTATCACCACCATTAGGGATTCTCGTAGTCGCAATAGTGCCGTTGCACTGGGGCCAGAACAGAGTTTTTCCCAGCCCTAAACCCTAAACCCTAAACCCTAAACCATGAGACTTCAGGTGAACCTCAACCACGTGCCAGTCAAGCGCGCAGCGGACAAAACAGTTAAAAGCCCAGATCTCCTTGCGGCATGCGCACCCAATCAGGGCTCTTGCAAGTTTTAGAAAGTCTTCTCCAGGGCCGACCAGGATTGTGGGCCTTATCCGCTACATATTGCAGAGGGTTTTCGAGATTCAGCTGGCTGCATCTGCTTCCATTCATTGAATCATAATTCCACGGATATAGTGGAGCTGATCGGTCATAATCCCTTCCCCTGATGATAAAGACCCTTGCCCCCCCCAATGATTAATGGCCCCAATGAAGCACCAACATATGTCAGGGGGAAGACTTGTAGTCCCCCTTAAGTAGATAGAATATGGGGTATGTGGGGATCTTATTATAATATACCCAAAGCCATATGCTATCTGCTTAAGGGGGACACTATGTCAGGGGGAAGATTTATTACTCAGGTGTATGTGGAAGCGGCACACCATGCTGGCAACACGGTCGTCAGGCCTCCAACATGGCAGTGGAGCGGGATATCTACAAATAAGGGCATTGGGGCTTATATAGGGGGTTACATGGGGGTTATATAGAGATTATATAGGAGCTATATCGGGGTTATAAAGGGGGTATATTGGGATAATGGAGATCAAAATGCTAACTATTATCAGGTAGTATGGTATACAGTTGGCTTATATAGGGATAACAGAAAAGAAAATGGAACCTACTATTTGAGGTTTATGTGGTTTATGTGTGGTAGTAAGGTTTTTTGCGGGGACATGGAGACTACAGGGTCCCTTTTACCCCAAGAATGGAGAGAACCAAGTGGACAACTACATGGAGACAGGGGTCTACAAGTATATATATATATGAATGTCGTTGAACTATCATATAGGGTAAAATCTGAATCTGCAACTGATGCTTGCTTTTCTATGCAGCTGAACGATATGGGAGTCCTCCGGAGCCTGTTCCTCAAGCCAGGCGTTGATGCGTGTCTGTGTGAATGCTCCGATTGGAGTGTTTCCGGGCTTGCAAATCTGCAGCCGCTGCACTTCGACTCCTCGCAGCAGCAATGCAGCCGGCAGTGGCTGCGTTTTCCAGATAATATTTGGATTGTGCCATTTGTAATGCCAGGCGTTCTAGTGCTAAACTTGTCGCGAAGCGAGGAGAGCGTTCACTCACGAATTCCGTTTCACCTCCTTTGCTGTGATTGCGAAGAGCCGCATGCACACACTGAGAAAACGAGCCACTTGCAGAAGGGATGAAAGACTCACGATAGTCACAAAAGGGTTGTTGCGACATGCCTGCGGTAACAGACCGAGAGTTTGGCCATGCAATGGCAAACTGCTTTGTTGGATGCTCAGTGAGTTGTACCTTGCACCTGCAGTTGCGACAACCTCAGCATTCGCGGGACAGACCGCAAGCTGCCTGAAGGCGTCTCCTCAAGGCCGCATCTCCAACGTAGCTCATGCCTACTATACAGAAGTTCGTTCTTGCAGCCCCTAGATAGATCCCGCATAAAATGCAACAATTCGAAAATGCTGTAGTTTGCAGCGTGTGGCACACATGGCATCGTGAAAGCATGAAGCCTGTTCCTGGTCATAGTGAGAATGAGGCAGAATTTGCATCATCACAGCAGTTTGTAATACCGAACTCGATCCTTTTTCAGAATGGTACGGGAGCTTCATAGAACCCTTTTCAATATCACACTGATCAGAGGATCCCTTCTTGTAAAAACACTACATTCCCTCCATCCGGGGTTGTTCTCAAAATTATGGGCTTCTCCTGGTTATAAGTCATATTACAGCAGCTCCCATTTAGGGGTACCAAAAAACCCAAAGCCCCTAGAACCCTGGTCACTTAAGATCCGAAACCCTACACCTTTTCTTGCACATCCTAAACCCTCAAACCCCTAAACCCCAACACCTTCCATGCCCAAGCGATCCTCAAGAAGCCGCAGCTGAAATGGTTGGAAAAGAAGCGGAGCTCGGCCAGACAGGTAGGGAGGTGGCGGAGGTCTAGAGTTTAGTTGAGTAGTATTTTATTTGGGGATACTATGGTACCCAATATAGAGTAAGATTAGATCCTCTTTTGGGGTATAGTATTTTATATAAGGAATATATTTTTACTGGGTTGAACCACAAAAAACACTACTCAATTGGGTTGTAGGGTTCAGTTCAGGGTTCAGAATTCAGGGTTCAGGGTTGCCTTGACTCAAAAGGGCCGGGTTTAATTTCGGGTTCAGGGTTTTCAAAAAGAAAGCGTTGGCAACGCCCACCCGAAACCCCACACCATTGTACCGGGGCAAGCATGGCTTGACGGATCAGGGTGCAGGGTAAGGGTTCAGGGTGTGTTGTCTGGGATCTAGTTTGCCCAGAATCTTTTTTTTTTGTTTATTGGAAGCTATTTTGGGTTCATGTTGCGGAGACACTCCAGAGTCTGCATCTTGTTTCGATTTTTACTTATGACTCACAGCATGTTCGTCTTCTCATCAAGGACTACGATTGTAGCAGGCTGGCAGTCGTAGGTGATAGTAAAAGTAAAAGCCTTACCAGTGCAGCGTCCCTTATCAACACGGTCGTTTGAGAGGTAGGGGCTCCAAAGGGACTATGGTCGGAATGTCTGCGTTCTTATGGGTTTAACGGATTCTTGCATAGGAGGGCCATGGGATTCAGGCTACAAGGATGCCTAAGGAGAGATGCAGAGATGTTTAGAGTGGTTCTACATGTTTTTGGGGTTCTACGGCAGTTCTGAAGTGGCATAGACGAGGTACATAGAGTTTTGTAGGATTATAGTTCTCGTTCGCGGTAAGTTTGGGTTGTCTGAACACGAGGAATTCTTTTTCAAGGACCGCAAAAACGGCAATGAACATCGTTGCCCATTGACTACTGTCTTGGCTCCGGTGTGGAAATGTAGCGCTATGTAGTGCTGAATGAGCCTGTGGTGACTAGATCTGCGATGATGGTCGACTGAACAGACGCAAGTCATGAGATGTCAATGCAGTGCAGGGTAGCGCCTATCTAGTGTTCTATGGGTATGTTCCTTAAGTTGTGGTTCGTTAACGCAGCTGAAAAACAGCGGAATCAGGAATGTTGAAGTTTCTCAAGTATGCAACAGTTAAGAGCCACATTGTAATACCCTTGCGAGCATCCCTGAGGGTATCCCTATCGTGAGAAGAGTGAAAATATACTCGCAACAGGTAGGATGCTCATTGCAGGGATCCTACTGCTCAGAAGCGCCATATGGCGCTCCCTCACACTGATCACTATAGAGTCCTTCAGAGCACACACCCATAATCCCCATGAGTAATTCTCATGTGTTTCTGCATATCTATACGGTGCCTAGGAGCGCCCCCTCCCCCAAAACGGTGGCCCTCGAGCCTTTTGTGGCCTTGCTATGGCCGACTACGACCACTTTGCGAAGCCCTGGCCCTTCCCGCTGACCGAGCGAGATGCTGCCCAGCAAGGACTAGTCGACTCCGGTTTTGGGATTATATGGGGTAGTTGGCCTGGCTTAGGTCTCTCAAAGGGTTATAGAGATATATAGGGATATATATATATATATGTATATACACATTATACGGACAAGGTTAAGCAAGTCCTGTCAGGCAATATATCCCAGGACCTCCCAGTACACCACACCCAAACAAAACACACAGTTAAGATGCCGTGAAAGGATGGGGGCCTTTCACATGCATGATCCTTACAAGAAGCCTGGTATCCTAACCCCTTAAACCTTCAACCCTTAACGCAAAACCCGCAACCCTAAACACAAGACCCCAAGCCCGAAACCCAATGAGAAGAACAATCAAACACAGTCTAAACGCGAAACACAAAACCATAAGCCCTAAATCCTGCACCCTACACCCTGCAAAACCATGAGCCATAAATCATATGCCCTAAACCCTAAATCATAAACCCTAAATCATCCCCCTATAAACCCACAAAAAAGCAAGCCCAAAGAGCTCAGGTGGCCATCCGACAGCGCTCCGCTCGCCTGCTGCAGGCCCTGCAGCGCATCGAGAGCGGAAGCTACAAGGCAAGGTTTGAACTCAGAGGTAGTTTAGGGCTCACGGTTTAGGGTTTAGGTTTCGGTGTTTGGGGTTCAGGGTTCAGGGTTTGGTGTCTAGGGTTTAAGGTTCAGGGTTCAGGGATATTGTAGTAGGCATTGAGGAATGGAGGAACTCTCTAGTCCTTGTAACATCCCCCAAAACAGCCAGTCATATATCCGGTTAAGTGCCAGTAAGTAAAACAAGGCGGTGGGCCTTGATGGGAGTGGTGTGGTTGTGGTCTTGCTGGTGGTGGGCAACAACAAGAAAAGCAACAACCATGGATCAGTTGAGGAAAAATGTCCGTTCGATGAAACTAACATTAGAGCATCCTAGGATACGCATCTCTGACTTGTAAGAATTTCACGGTGAAGGGTTTGCAGTTTGTTCATGCTTCAGAGGACAAGGCAGATGAGTTCGACACCAGCTTCAGCATGCTGATCAAAGGCTGCCGGGAGGCGGGGGCTCTTTCAGGATGCTTGTGTAGTCCCCCTCTTGGGGTTATATAGGGATAATGGAAAAGAACATGGAAACTACTATATTATAATAGGGTATATATTGGGGTTATAGTCCCTCTTAAGTAGAGAGAATAGGGGGTATATGGGGATCTTATGATAATATACCCCAAGCCATATTCTATCTACTTGACTATAATTTAATGGGGATCGTTTTTGGAGGTGGGTAAGACATGCTTGATGGTGGAATGTCGCCAGATGACCAGGTGGCCGACGATGGATTCTTAGAGGCTCCAATCTACAACAACACCCAGATTGAGGGCGCCTGGCTCTTCCTCTTCGAGGTGAGGCGAAGGCACCTGACCAAGCGAAAGCAGCTTCAGGAATGCATCCGGACATTGGGCGCCTCCTACAACTGGTCCATGGCCCTGTTTGGCTCTCGGAAAGTGCAGGATGCTTTACGCGCTCTGCCTGGCTGCCTCGGAGCATTGAGCATACTTTCGCCTAATTTCGTTCATTCGCAGTTTCAAAGGGGCAAGCCGGACTTGTTCCAAGGTGACGCGCGCACGGAGATCTTGGAGGACGCGGGTGCCCTCGATCTACTTTCACAGCTCCAGCCGCGCTGCATTCCGGGTGAGCCGGATCCGGATGAGACACCTCCAGCCCAGCCAGCTGGCCAGGCAGGGTGGCCTGCGCCAGGGTGGCCACAAGCTGCGCAGGCTTGGCCTCCACAGCCCAATTTGGGTGAGCCAGGCCCAAGTGACTGGGCCCGGCCGAGCGCCCCAAGCGCCTCAAGCGCACAGGGATCAGGCAAGAACAATCCCTTCAAGAAACCTGGCCCCTCCGGAGCTGATTGGGCAACCTTGCCAGTGGAAGCTCGTGTTGCGGACGCCCCGTATCCTGCCCCAACGTCCGGCTTTCCTGACGCAGGCGCTTTTCCGGCTTTTCCAGGTCCAGCGCAGCCGGCTGCACCCCGCCCAACCTCCGCCTCCAATCCTTTTCGCAAGGACAAAGATGGCTGGCCGGCAGTGTCGGGAAGTGACCTAGATGCCTTCCAATCTGTTCGACCTATGGCAAAGGAGCCAGCTGCACGACCACCTTTCCAGGAAGATTCGGGAAGATGGCAAGCGGATGCTCCAGTGCCGCTGGCCCCACAGGAGCCAGCATCTAAGCTCCTTAAATTAAAGGGGGTTATATGTGGGATTATCTACTAGAGGGCTTTAGTCAGGGGGATGCTAGGAGTTGAGACTATGACTAACAGGACCTGATGGCAGGCGCCAAGTTCGCCAAGGAGTCGGGCGTAAGCGCACAGGACATGATGGCGGGTGCCCAAATGGCGCAGAAATCAGGTGTCACACCGCAGCAACTCGCCCAACAAAGACATAGTCATTGTCATTATGGTATACGGGTTAGATAAGTTATATGGTAGTGATATGGGGACTATATGGGGCTATATGTATATATCTATATCTATATCTATCTATCTGTCTATCTATATATAGGGGTCAGCTATGTATGGCTGATGTAGTTTGAAAATGGTTGTGTTCTACAGGCTTTCTGCTAGGCAGTAACTTGCAGCTGAGGCATGCGCTGGACGGTGCACGGATGGCGCATCAGGCCGGTGTCAGGCCGCAACACGTCGTGCAAGGCGCGCAGATGGCACATCAGGCAGGCTTGCGTCCTCATCATGTTGTCGATGGAGCCAAATTTGTAACAAGGCTGGTATAACAGATGTCCACAGTTTTCAGATTTTTTTTTGGGGAGGCTTTTGTGCCCCTAGCAGTTTCAATGTTTTTTCTCCTTTTCCTACCGAGCTGCCAAGGCGCATCAAGCCGGAGTGACGCCCGACAAAGTCCTCGCAATGGGAAAGGCTTTTTCTGAAGCTTGGCACATGGATGGAACTCGTTTCTCTTCTTTGTGACAGAGCTAAGTCGGAACCTTGCAACCGCATCAGCGGAATGTTTGTTAAGGCTGGCAAGTGAAAGCAGCGTGCATAAATTGCACATTCACCAAAGCTGTCAAGTGAGATGTGCGTATGCATCATCCACGAGATCCGATGACGAGAGTGGCCCGATTGCGACGAAGGATCCTGCCAGTCAAGCTAGAGACGTTTACTGACACGCGGGCCGTCTCCCCCGCCACCTGGGCCTTGCCCGGTTCTGGAGCCTGTTCCAAGAGAATTGCTGAAGTGCATGAGATGATGAGGAGACACGGCAGTTCAGCTACCTACAGTGAGGCTGAGAAAAGGTGGTCCGGGCAGACATGCGTAGATAACGCTTTCTCTCCGTCTGTTGAAGTGACTCTGCGACATTCACAGTCTTGCGAAGGCCAAAGAACGGCAGATTCTCCCAGACGCTGCGAAGACTGCAGATGTTGATGCTGCAGAAGAGGCCTGCAATGTCAACACCATGGGCAGGTGACCATTGCTGACCATTGCCACATGACCTTCAGTAAAATAGCAGCAGAAGTACCTCCCCAGAACACGGGCCGCTGCATTAAGACCAGCATGGGCATGGTGGTGAGCCATATACGTACATATAGACATGTGTGTGAATGTGTATTAGTACATGTATATGCTTACATGGAATTGCAAGGAAGCTGTCACAGACTCCGTCCAGGCTGTCTATGCCCCCAACTTTCATCACCCCCCATAACCTCTGTCACTTGCTCCTCTGACCTCTGCAATAGCCATACCCTAGACCCGAAGCCCTAAAGCCTAAACAGAACCCCCTAAACGCCCCAGCCAGGCCAAAATTTCGACAGCAGCCTGACTCGCCAGAAAGTGCTGACTTCTCTTCCTGAAGGGAAAAGATGGAATCTCAACAATGCCATTCGCTATCATGCTTGAGGAATGAGAGTGCAGCTGAATGCAAAGATAGTGGTGGCATTAAGGCTAGCGATGCCATGGCTGCTTTGGTGTGCATAGGGTCCAGTTGGCTTGCGGGACTGCCCTGCCAGGGCTATTGACATGAACGAAGCTGCAACTCGTGTAAGAAGCAGTGCCAGAAATTGTGGAGACGGGGCTCTAGACAGATCCTGGGTATTCCCTGCTTCTGGACGTTCTTGGCCCGAGTGTCATCACTTGATCTCCCTGCCCTTTTCTTTCTTGGCTCGTCTTTGAGATGAGCAGAAGGCTGGGAAGCATGCGTGAACTTGAGACATGAAATGTCAGCGCTGTGCCTGGCAGGTTACCCGGCATGATTGGGCTGGTCTGTCGGGGGCTGTTTGGGTTGGTGTATGTCAGTGTATGTGCTGGTCAGTGGCTTGCCTGTCCCATTCCGCATCCTTCTCCATGTCCACTCGTATGCGGGGTTCTTGGCTCTGCTGCTTTCGGTCTCAGGGTTAAGAGATGTTGGTGTTCAGGGTGTTGGTTCGGGGATTAAGCTATGATTGGTCATAGGAAAGATTTGTTGTTCAAGCATGCTCGCCTGCTGTGTATGTTGCTTGAGCGATGCTGCGAAAAGAGTCCGGTTGCAGGACCAGGGAGCTGAACATGTCTCCCACGCAGCGTGTTGTGTTAAACTATCTTTTGGCTATGCACATGCAATCTTCTCATAGCGCATGGTTCATGCTGAAGCTGGTTCTGCTCCAGACGTGAAAGCAGCCCTCTGATGCCGTGGCCGCTAAAGACCTTGTAAACACATGTAGACGGCCATAGCTTGACATGTTCTCATTTAGTTTGTTGATTGCAAATGTCACGAACTGCATGAGCCAGCACATCTTCATTTTGTTTTGATTGCATGTGATGATTCTCTGCAATTCATAAGGCAGTTCTTGAGCTTCATGCTTACCCAAAGCTTTCCAGTTTCCGTTTCATTCTTTTCCATTTCATTCTCCTCTAGATATTGGGGTTATACGGCATATGGATCCCTATACCAGTCGTTATATAACCCCGATATAATCTCCTATGTAATCCCGTATCACCCAGAATAATATAGTAGTTTCTTGTGCCGTAGCCATGAAGATGAAGCGCAAGCGAGCAGCCAAAAAAGTGGTGGAGGCGGAGTCAGGCGTTGTCATAAATAGGGGTTCCCCAACGTAGACCTTAATCTAGTACAATCCTTATCATGCGGACCACCAAAATGGGCCCCTGAGTTTTGGACACCCCCCCACCTAAGGGAGGGCTTTGGCTTCTGATTTCTTCACTGTCTGCTCTGCTTCTAGTGACTATCTAGGCCCTAGGCAGTTTCAAGCCACACAAGAAAAGCCGAGATAGGGAATCATGGGGCCTCCGCACACAGGCTGCGCAAGTGTCGCCCGCTGCTCCCGCAAAGGCTCCAACCATCAGGGTTGAATGTTCGGGACGAAGGGCTTACGAAGAAAGTCGCGTAATCAGCGGTGTATGGGGTTTGGGGCCCTACTTTTTGTGCTAGCACAGTGGAGGCTTTTGCGTTGAGTGGACCGGTTCTGTCAAAATCTAGGTCCGGACGTTGCTGTCAGCTAGCATTTTAAGATGCCGCTGTTTCTCAGGCAGGGATCGAATTTGTTCCGGTAGTTTCGGTAGGATGTCTATGAATTCGGGGGCCTCAAAAAGGTGGCTTGTTTTTTTGAGAATACAGGTGCGCGTGGCGGTTTCGCAAGCGGCTGCTGAAATTTCAAGATTCACAGTTCTTTTTGGATTCGGGCCTGAAAAAAGTTTGCTTTTTGAGGAGAGGCAATTTCATGCATTTTGGTATGCTCTGGCAACCCGAATGGTATTCTCTTGGACAGATGGATGCTCCAGGAAACCGTATGCTCTGATAACATGAACCTTATGAGTTTGTCCAGCATGCTCTAGACTTAGGGAGCGTAAAGTCCCAGTGGCGGTTGTCCTTGCTGAAATTCGCTTTACATCTCCAAGTCCTCAAAATCGTTGAGGGTGGCAGCAATTGATAGCCCCAAAGCCCTCAAAAACGTGGGACGGTAATTGACGCAGTGCACAAACACACGGACACGGAGTCTTACTTCTGAGTGAAGTCGGTAATCAAAAGAAAGCCGAGAGAGGGAATCATGGGGCCTCCGCACACAGGCTGCGCAAGTGTCGCCCGCTGCTCCCGCAAAGGCTCCAACCGTCAGGGTTGAATGTTCGGGACGAAGGGCTTACGAAGAAAGTCGCGTAATCAGCGGTGTATGGGGTTTGGGGCCCTACTTTTTGTGCTAGCACAGTGGAGGCTTTTGCGTTGAGTGGACCGGTTCTGTCAAAATCTAGGTCCGAACGTTGTTGTCAGCTAGCATTTCAACATGACCCCCATCCACCCTTTGGCCTAAACCATATATCCGATGAAGTCCTAAAATGGTTCCCCAATCGAGCTCGGAAGGTTGTTGTGCCAGTCTGTGCATTGCGTGAACCAGTGCAGATTGTAAAAGCAGTCATGTGCTGGAGTCATTATATTGTTAATTTATAGTAGATTCCGGTATGTTGGGTGTAATGGTGAAGGCAAGTTCCCATAATATTCAGAGTGCTCTACTTCTCTTGTACTAACATGGTGAACCTAGACGGAAAAGTCTCAAAACTAGTTCCTGAAGCTGGTGACATTTGTAGACTCAACCGTGGAGCCGCCAATTTCTGAAGCACATTGTACGCAAGTCTTGTGATAGATCACAACATGTTCAAGCACCTCACAACAGGCACACAAAGCTTACGGAACCCCTTTCTCAAACGCCGGGCATCTGAACCCGGAGCCTCCACACAAGCCGCAACTGCAAGCCTAACTTCGTCTAAGCCCTTATATGAGGAATAGCCAAAACTCGTCAAAGGGTGATTATTTAGGTTATTTAGGGGATTCTTATAGAGGTTACTAAGGGGGATAGTAGGAGTTTAGACTATAGCTCATATCTAGGCCCTGACTGTCGCAGCTCAACACCTGAACCCTGAATTCCTTCAGCTCAAATTCCTGGTATCAAATTCTGCAGCTGGAATCGTAAGCCCTAAGTCCTAATCCCAATATAGCCCCTAAATGAACATATATGTATATGTATAAATACATATAGCCAACCGTACTTGAACCTCAACTATATCATACTTTGTTCCATTTGGCTATCCATTTTAGGGGTTTAAATCCCCAACCTCCAAACCTTGAAACTTACATAGTAGTTTCAATTTTCTTTGCCATTCCCAGTTACCCCAAGTTAATCCCTGTATAATCACTTATCTCTAGATATGATAGTTTCCTTAGGTAGGGGACCCCAATATAGACCCCCAAGTATTAAAATCCTGATTATGGGGACTCCCACAAAAGGTACCCCTAATTTTGGGGCAACCCTCAACCCTAAACCCTATATAACCCCTATATTACCCTTATATCCCCTTTAAAGGTGCCATATAACCCCTATATCCCCTAAAAAGGGACCCCTAATTTTGGGAAACCTCCATATAGTTTTGCCGCAGGTGCCAGATGTGCCAGCAGCGGAGCAAGATAGCGAGGCTTCACCGGAGGGACTTAAGCAGCCCTAACGGGGTTTCGGGTTCAGGGTTTAGGGCTTGAGGGTTTAGGGGTTGAGGGTTTAGAGTTTGGGGATACATAGGGGATATAAAGGGATATACAGGGCATATATAGTGGAGATGTAGGGGATAAATAGGGGTGGTGTAGGGGATATGCGGATGTTATTAGAATGCTCGTACCCTTGGAATCAGTGGTGGAACACTCGAAGTGAACAACATGGGGTGAATCTGTGAGTTCGGACGGATTTTCTGTAGAAGATCTAGAGTGGCACTTGGGACGTTTTTGTGCTTCTTGTCACATTATGTAAAAGACCTTAATTCTGGCAATGACCCTTTAAAGAGCCAGCTTAGTCGTGGCCTCATGTGAGCGGTAAGCTGAAGTGCTGTCTAGAAGAGCTTGCCCGGCCTTATCTCATGTAGCTTGCATTTTCTTTTCCAATATGCTTATATAACCTCAATATTATACCCCTATTTAACCGATAATACAATATAATATACCATATTATATATTCAAGGGTCAGGCTTCGTTTCAGTGTTTGGGATGTGGGTTTAAAGATGTCGGATGGATGTGGGTTAGGAATTTGGGTAACACAGCTGTTTGGCCATCTCCCTTCAACAGCAGGTGCCCCGACTCATGATTGAACTTTTCAGGTGTGTCTCGCAGTTTTCAAGGTCCTAAACCCGAAACCCTAAGGCATTTGGCAATCCAGAGTATGGGCTTGTAACCCTGGGGCATTCCCCACGAATCGCATCTCAGGGCAGCTTAATATTGGATTCTATTGTACATATAAATATATATATATATAGGGTTTAATGGAGAAGAAAATGGAAACTACAATAGTATATGGGCATTCAAGTTCTGCCAACATCAACGTAGCAGTCCTTGCGCATGCTCTGGAAGTATAAGAATGGGAGGATGAGGAAGAGTAGAGGTAGAAGTGGAAGACCGGATCATAGACCAAGTCGAGGTAGCATGGTTTTCATAGTGCACAGAGTGAGTAATAGTGAGGGAAAAGACCTGAACAGTGACCCATGATTGTCAGAAGCCCCTTCGATCCCCATGATGTTCCTCTACAGGTCATCATCTGCCTAAAGCCTTCTAATCTTCTTTGACTACATACCCTCAACCCTAAATCCTATTTACTTACTGGGGGTTAGTGGGGAATAAGGGAATATAAGCGCCATATGATCCGTGCCAAATAATATATTCCCTTATTCCCTACTCAGCCCCCAGAAGTATAACATCCCTATACAATCCCCACGTACTATAGTAGTTTCAATGTTCTTCTACATTATACCCTATATATACAGATGTATAATAAAACCCAACCTGTACCTTAAACCTAAACCTTAAGCCCGAGATTTACCCCTGTGTCCCTGGCGCTGCAGGCGACCTTCGAATCCTTAGGCGTCTGCGAGGCAGGGGCTGTCAGCCGTACTTTCACACGTAGGTTAAGGGTTTAAGGTTTGGGTTTAGGGTTATATAGGGTTTAGGGTTTAGGATTTAGGGTTTTGGGTTTAGGGTTTAGGTAAGAAAGAGTTTAGCGCTAAGACAGAGGTTAAACATAATATGGGTAGGGGAGATTGCCACTAAGAAGAAAACATCACATTGAATAGAAATGGGAAATGAGGTGGAAGCTGGGCTCATAGGGATGTATATGTTCTACGGTGTAGGACTCTATCTCATTTTCCATTTGATTCTCCAATCTTAGGGGGTACTATTTCCCTATACCCTAATCCTAAATAGTAGCTTCCTTTCCTTTCCATTCTTATCAGCCTTTCCAAGCCTCGATAATCCCCATATTATCGTTATATAGTCTACTATATATCCTTTTATAATCCTCATATAAGGTCAGTCTACTCATTTCTGGAGTCCACTCATCTCTGGGAGCAGAGGTTTAATGGGAGCAGAGGTTTAACACAGGCTGCAAGAATTTGCTAATATTTGCTTCCTTCAGGGGCCTTTATCCGCGTTTTTCACACACCTCAAAGGGAGGTTCTGAGACTGAACACCCTGAAGCTTATGTGGGGGTTATACTGTAGTATTGCTTCCCCAGTCCCACCAGGGTTTGCATTTGGGGTTTGGAGAACTTTTGGAATCGATGCCCTTTTTGAGGACGTGAGGAGTTGTATTTGTTGTTGGGTGTTTATCTGTCTATGCTACATGAAGCCCTGAGGTTGCATGCAAGCATCCGCGGAGTAGAGTTGGGCCTGTTTGATAAACCAGACCCCTGACCCTTAACAGGGATAATCTATCATAGGGATCCTAATGTTAAGGCTCTTAAAAGGAGGGGAGGGGGTAAGTTATCATGGGTCTACAGGGGGCAGAAAGAGTTGAACAAGTTTGGGGCACTGGACCCTGACTGATTGTCAGTACCGAGACCATTGGTAGAAACAACAAGAATTAGCATCTGGACTGGGGTGGGTTTCAACCAAAACTAGCAACTTATGCATTTGTTCACTGTTAGACTATCTTCAAGACAACTTCCGATCAAGCTGTCTCCTCAACCTGAACAACCAGGATGCCTGAGTAACAGTTGCATTCTAATGTGTGCATTCACCCGCTTTGATAAAGAAAACTAACAATTTTGTGGCTTGCCATGCAGTAAGCCATGCTGACTCGTTCACGACCTTCTAAGTTCATCGCGAGGTTGCAAGCACAAAAAAGAAGGCTGTTCAGGTGTCGAGTTTGCTTTCGAATCCAGCAATCGCTTGATGCGTTGGAACGAGTTGGACGTTGTAATGAAACCCCAAATGACCCCATATAATCCCTACATCCCGTTGAAAGTAGTAGCAACCACAACCAACTAAAGCCTAAACCCTAAACCCCTACAACCTTAACCCCTAAACCCTAAACCCCAAACCCTTAACCCCTAAACCCCCTAAAAACCCTAAACCCCCACATCCTAAAGACCACATTGATTGCAGACTCCACCGCCTTGCTCATGAGGAGCTTTGCCAAGCTGTGAAGCTCATGAAGTGGTCGAAGCCGACCAGGAAAAGCTTCCAGGGGTTTAGGGTTTAGGGTTGGTTTAGGGGAGAGGGTTTAGGGTTTTGGGGGCAAGGTTCAAGGGGTTTAGGGTGTAGGGTTTAGGGGTTAAGATTGTAGGGGTTTAGGGTTTGGGGTTCAGGGTTTAGGGGAACTGCTGAGTAGTAGGCAAGGGAGGAATGGGCTGCGGTTATTTAAGGGTATACAGGGTTTAGGGTTTCCCAGAATTAGGGGTACCTTTTTAGCCGTATCATGGAACATCACATGGAAAAGAGAATTGAACATGAAATGGAAACTGGGCTCCCTCGGATCCTAGGGCTGCGTGGATTAGAAAGATGATGTGAGTCCATAGATGTTCATGCATGTATTCCTCTGCTTGTGAATAGTCTCATTGTTGTTACTATTGCTGTCAGCCATCAGTGCTGATTATATTCCTTAGTACCAAGCAGCCGGATAACAGCACCCGAAACACGTTGAGCAGTACGTGTCTCAGAACTATATCTCAATTCTAGGGTCCTGATATGGGAGTTTCCGAGAACACGGGTCCGACTTTCATACCCCAATGCGCCATAATCCTTATGACAGGACCTCCAAACCAAACCCCAACTATAGGATCCATTAGCGGTTTCGGGGATTAGAGTCTAGGGGTTTAGGGTCTAGGGGTTTAAGGTCTAGGGGTTTAGGTTTTAGGGTTTAAGGTTTAGGTCAGGTGCTAATGGATGCCTGATCCCGCAGGTGCTTGCCATCAGTTGGCAGAGTCTCTTAGGAGTTGTTTTCGAAATAACGCGCATTTGATCCTTGACAGGGTTCCTGTAATCCCGTCTATAATCTTCATATGTACGCGGGCTCCTTGTATCCCCACTCTAATCTTCTGTACATCCCTAAACTGTAATCAGGAAAGTAGTTTCCATGTTCTTGTCCATTCCCGGCATATCCAGTGTCCATTGCATTTTTCCTTCTAATTTTCCACCCTAAACTCTAAACCCTAAGCCTTAAACCCCACACCCAAAACCCAAAACCCTAAACCCTAAGCCCAAAAACCCCAAACTCTAAACCTGGTCTTTGGCAGGATTCAGCAGGAATCGATTCCCTGGGCACTGCAGGCCTTCAGTTTGTTTTCTGGAGGGACGTGGGAGCCTGGAAAAGAAAATGGAGACTACTATTGTATATTGGGGTTATTTTGGGATAATGGAAAATAAGATGGAAATTGCTATAATGGGTTTAAAAATAAGCAAGTAAATAAATAAATAAATAAATAAATAAATATATATATATATATAGGGTATGATGGGAAGGAAAGTGGAGACTACTATAGTCTATGGGGATTCTTTTGTGACATTATACTTACCGGGTTTTAATAGGGAATTAGGGAATATATTATGTAGGGGTTTACAGGGGTGGAGATGGTTCCTTGGCTTAGCTGTTTCTTTGGTTTAGGGTTAAGGGTTTGGGGTTTAGGTTGAGGGGTTTAAGGTTTGGGGGTCAGGGTTGGGGGTTTCGGGATTTGCGGTTTAGGGTCGAGGTGCGGGGTTGAGGGGTGATAGTTGATGGCCACAGAAGCCTTCGCTTGTACAATCCCGGATTGTTTGAATCAGTTGCAAATCCGAAGCCCCTAAACCCTCATCAGGGCCGAGACATTATCGGCCTGGCGGAGACCGGCAGTGGTAAGACCGGTGCCTTCGCGCTGCCCATTGTACAGGCTGTGGCGTGAATTTTTTTTTGTCTAGGCTTCGGGATTAGGGGTTGAGGGTTTAAGGCTTAGGATTTAGAGATTAGGGTTCAATGATACTTTCCTAATAATGGGTTTGTGGGTTCTATGAGGAAAGGAACATGGAAGATACCCTATTCATTGCATTTGGGGGCTTTCTCTCCTTGGAGGCAGCTTTGGAGTCCTGAGGTGTGCGGTTCAGGGTCTAGGCTTTCTTAAAAGAATGGGTTCTTTTTCGTTGTCCTTAGCGTCAGGACGTCAGGGTTATGTGGGGAATTGGACCCATAGCCAGCATAGCCAGTCTTTGGGAGTCACTGAAGGTAAATGGCCCCTTCAAGCCCAGAGTCATCCTATCCTAAAAGCTTTGCATCTAGAGAGTAGCTTGAGGTGGTGGGTCTGTGGACTAGCCATCGGAAGGTAACAGTGCTTGTGCACACTTCTCTGATGTACTGTCACATTTGTCGTTTCGTTTCTCACTGACTGCTGTTGAAACTGAACGCTGCTTCTTGCCAGCGACTTCTGGACGATCCTCAGCGCTTCTACGCAGTGTGCCTGGCACCGACGCGCGAGCTGTGCGTCCGCATCTCGGTGCTCGCTACAGGTGTGCATGCAAAGCCTAAAGACCCATCTTTGCTCCAAGGTCCAGATTGGTGAGCAGTTCGAGGTCAGTTCGGCATTCTTGCCATGCACGACACAGCATGACCGATATCAGCCATGTGTGAGCATGTTGGCACGCTGCTCTGCTGGCACTCTGGCACTCTTGGATAGTGAGACTTGTAAGCGGGTCACGCATACCCCAGGATTAATAACTACGCTTATTCTTCAACATAACCAGTTTCCATGTCGTTTTCCATTTCATTTTCAATATTGTGGCAATATCCCCCAAAACCTTCTCATCCCAATGTATTCGCGATATATCCTGTATATCAAGGGGTAATATCCCTGTCTAAACTCATCAGCCTAAACCCTACTCCCTACTCCCTAATCCTTAAACCCTACACGCCATGCAGGCTATTGGCAGCACCATTAAGCTGCAGACTGCCACAGTGGTGGGTGGGCTTGCCATGGTGGACCAGGCCATGGGGGCCAGGGAGGGGTAAGGGGGTTTAGGGTTTGGGGTGTTGGGTGTTGGGTTTAGGGGTTTGGGGCTTAGGGCTTAGGGTTGAGGGTCAGGATTTAGGTTAGGGTTTAGAGTTCAGGATTTAGGGTTTAGGAGGTAGGGTTTGTATATACTGCTATGGGTATCGAAAAATCAGGGGTCTCGTTTTGAGGGTACCTATAATACGGATTATTCCAGTTTCGGTATGGGAATCCCCATAATAGGATTTCGAGACGCTGCAGGGTGTGTCAAGAGGTCCGAGAGGATGTTTGCAGGACAACGATGATACGACTAATGATACGTGTTACGGGCGTTTGCAAAGAATCAATGGTGCGCTTCATCGATTTTCCTTTCCTGTTTAGGAAATCTCTAGAGCAGGGTCTTCTCGCTCTTGGAGACAAGCGAAAAGGGCTAGTCATCAAATTCGTGGAAAGAAAAAGTCAAGCATCAGCCACCTTCAAACATGACAACATAAACAAGCATCGCACATTTTCTAGCCATGGTACTCATGAAGCTAGTGCTTGTTTGCAGGAGTCTGAAGAGAATTCCGATGTTGAATTGTAGGGAAAATCCTGTCGCCCCGCTCTCCTCAGGCGATGGCGCTAGCCAAGCGTCCGCATGTCGTCATTGCGACGCCTGGGCGCCTGGTGGACCACTTGGAGAACACCAAGGCCGGTATCTCCAACTCGTGCGGAAGGTTCTACCTGCTGCTGCTGCTGCTACAGCTGCTGCTGCTGCTGCTGCTGCTGCTAGTGCAATACATGCATGCACATGCCCCATCCGTTGTCATAACGAATGTGTTGTCAAGGTTCCTGTTGTTGGGTTGTTCTTGCTGTTGTGACCATCGTTGGTGGTGTCTTGTGTGCTTTAGTTGCACGACCTGTCTAAAGGGGCTTCTAGCAGGTCAGCTTTGCCAGTCTGCTATGCAGGGCTTTCACCTCAAGACCATCAAGTATTTGGTCATGGACGAGGCTTCTGCTGCTGTACCGCCATACGTCCATTTCACTTCAATCCGGTTGTCCTCATTCAGAGCAAGGGCGCGAGGCAGATCCAGGCAGAGTAATACGCTGCAGGGTGCATAGCAAATGGGGTATATATTAGGGTTATATTGGGGTTATATGGGGATAAGGGAAAAGAACATGGAAACTATTACAATAATATAGGGTTTAGGCAGAAATGGGTGGTCTTACAGCAGTGGCCTTTTGTACTAGGTGCCATGGTTTGAGGCAAGGCCCGCACGCTTTTAATCGGGGAGGATGACTGCCGTGCGTTTGGGTTGTTATCCTTGCAGATCTGATCAGGGTCCAGGATTTTGGGCTTGGGGGCTGAGGGTGTCATGTTTCACATCTAGGGACTGTAGGAGGGACCCCTAATAGGGACCCTTAATCCTATTACCAGATATAACCCTTATATAGTCATTATATAACCCCTATATCCCTAGGTAGCCCCCATATTAACCCCCATAAGCTACAAGGGTCCCTATTACTCCTAACGTCCTTAGAGTGTAGGCGGATCGCCTGCTGTCCATGGACTTCGATGAAGCCTTGGACAAGATCCTGGAGGTGGCCAGCACTTAGCGCTTGGGGGTCTGAGGGGTTCTATACTGGTATGTGGGGAGAATATGGAGGTTTCCCAAAGGGGTACCTACTATAATGGAGAATCAAATGGAAAAGAAAATGGAAAATGAAATGGAAACTTAGTTGATTTAGGGGATTATAGGGATTAGGGTTTCCTACAATTGGGGGTACCATTTTGGGGGTCCCCATAATAAGGACTTTAGTATATTAGGGTCTATATTGGGGTCCCTTATGTGGGGGATTGTCAAAATTATGGTCCCTTTTTGGGTCCTATTATAATACGGGGCCTAATTGAGGGACCCAAAAAGGGACCACAATTTTGACAATCGCCCATGTAGGCGAATGGATAAGAACATGGAAGCTGCTAAATTAATTTATGCAAAGGAGGGCCAGGCCAGTGATTGCTGACAGATCTGGTGGTGCCAGTTTAGCAGTGTTGGGGATTACTGTGCGAGTAGGCGTGCTCGGCTGAGTCTGGGTTGAGTAAAGTAAGATAACCTCCTTGCAAGTAGGGAATGAGGGGCTGGTTTCGACGTTTTCTTGAAAAGGATGCCTTCTATCCAAAAACCCCTAAACCCCACATGCAGCCCTAAACCCTAAACCCTAAACCCCTAAACCCCTAAACCCCTAAACCCTAAAACCCAAAACCCCCAACAGCAATACCGTTGAAAGCCGTGCCGGCTTGAGCAGCATTTTGCAGCGGAGCCTCGCCATGCCGCGGTTGTTCACAGCCACGGAGAAGTGGAGGCACTTGGGTCGTGCCCAAATTTAGGGTCCCATTTGGGAGTTTCCCAAAATTACGGGTACTTTTTGGGGGTCCCCATAATAAGGATTGTAATATTTTGGGGTCTATATTGGGGTCCCCCTATTTTGAGAAACTACCATTTTAGTACCCCTACATATATGGTGCCGTCATATCATATACACCCCAAAGGGGCCCATAATTTTTGAGAACAACACACTTGATGCATGACTACTTCACTGGCCTTTTGTTAGCTAGGAAGGAAGGAATGGATCTTTATAGAGTCCCTATATAACCCATCATAGTCTAATAGTAGTTTCCATTTTCTTTTCCATTCCTTAATTCCCAGCTAAACAAAGGCCAGTTTATCAGGGTTTAATGCTTAGGGTTTCTGGTAGGTAGATAATGTTGATCATATCTATCTACCCGAACACCTCGCCATGGCTTTTCTTGGAGTCTTTGTAGCTAGGCTTTGTTTCATGAACCACCTCGTGATGAAACTGCCCCCACTCATTAACAGTTGGTATATATTCATAATATCGTTATATGGAGCCTTAATAATGACCCCTATTATTTTGCCCCACGCCTTCTGATGAAACAGCAAGTGGAAACTACTGGTGGTCAGGCATGGTGCAAGTCTGGCAATAAGTCTTGGCGCCATCACGCTCGCCTGCCTGACCTGGGGTAGCCCAGATGTAGTTCGGCATCAGTTTTGAATTAAATGAAGGTTTGGATGTCAGTTCTTGTCAAAATGTTTGGGCTCTTTTTGCAGTAGCTCCTTTTCAGAAGCCATTAGAGTCAAACCCCACGAGCAGCTCCATATAGTCTGAATTAGCCCGACGAAAGCTCAGTAGCCACCAACGTGAGGGCTCACTTTCGCGCAGCCTGGTCGCCTTCCCGGCCGGCCCCTGCAGCAGCCCACGGCGCCCAACCGGGTGCTGTTTACGTTTTCTGTGCCTTGCAGACATATAGGGGATTACCGGCAGTGATATCGATTACCTGGAAAGGGGATGCTCCCCTAAATACCTAAACCCTAAACAGTAGTAGCTTCCATTTTCTTTTCCATTATCCCTATATAAACCTATTGGACTATAGTAGTTTCCATTCCTTTTTATTACAAGAGGGCCCTTCGAAGCTCCCAATGTAAATCCCAAGGTTAACCCGGGTCTAAAGTCTGCCCTACCCTGTAGACCCTACAGCAAGCCCTTCGAGCCCTCCAACCCTAAGCATAGCCCCTTCATTTATGGGCTCTCCTACTACACCCCCCTGTACTAATCCCCACTCAGGTTTTTTTTGATTGAATACCCCTAATCATATTTAGCAAGCCCAAAAAATGAGGGGGGGACCTGGCAGGGGGTCACCTAGGGTAGGGGTAGTAGGCAGAAAAATACCCCAGACCCTAAACCTTAAATAGTAGTTTCCATTTGCTTTTCCATTTTCCCTATATAACCCGTATATAACCCTTATTATACCCCCCACATTTACAAAAGCACGCAGAAGCGAGGCTGGACAGCTGGGCTTCGGAGCCTTGGGAGTTGGCTGTTTGCTGGCTGCGTTCCCAAAGCCCAGCTCCCTGGCCTACTCTTGGTTCAGGGTTTAGGGTTTAGGGTTTAGAGTGGGTTTACCCTAAACCCTAAATGCGAAACTAGAAAGTCAGGGTTCCGTTTTAAGCTGCTGGCTTTCATCAAGTTTGTAGAGACTGCCTTGGGTCTTGCGCGAAAGGCTTAGGGTTACGGGGTGTCAGAGCAGAAGAGAGTTCAGAGGGTTTGCATGGTAGTTGCGCCTTCGGAATCCCCAAAATGCCGAGAGCTCGCACGTACCTCGATTTTGATAAATCTTCCTCTGGGGACGAGAAACCTTAAATTCCGAATACTCAACCCTAGAGTTTCTGCTTTAAATCCTACGCTGTAAATTGACGCTAAATCTTATCTATCTGTATACCCCTATGAGATCCCTGAATACAAATCACATGCCCGCCACGAAAACCCAAACCTTAAGCTCCAAACCTTAAACCCTAAACCTGAAACCCTAAACCAACCCTAAACCCTACCCATTATAGTAGCTTCCATTTTCTTTTCCATTATTCCTATATAACCCCAATAGAACCTGAAACCCTAAACCAACCCTAAACCATTCAGTCGCGAGGTTTGGGCTCCAAGGCATGGCGATGGGTCGGGGTTTGGGTTTAAGGTATAGGGCTTAAGGTTTGTTTTTTTGGCGTTGAAGGTTCGCTGGTAGGGTTTGAGGTTTACTGTTTAGGTTTTCAGGGTTCGGGGTTAGTATAGCTACAATTGCAATTATGCTAGTTTGCGCAAACCGTGCCCTGATAGCCGCCAACGCGCCCAATACATTTTAATCCTTATCGTAGGGCCAATGTTAGACCCAAACTCTAAAATCTTAGGCGGGGGCAGTGTTTAAAAGAGATGGGCAAGGTAGTCATGGCGATATCAGCTCCCATACGCTATCGCACACTGATAGTTTCATGTCCCAGAGTGCGTGGAGGTCCCTGGATAGTTATGGGTTGGGTTATTTCTGACCCCACAACGGTTTCAGGTTTAGGGTTTAGGGTTTACACTTCTGAGCTTACCTACAAGGTTCCTGAAAAT